GATAGGATATATTAAATCTTAAAATGATTACTTATATAGAGATTTCTCTATAGTCCTAGAGTGCTATCTATCTACTATATATCTTATAAGGCTTAGAATAGCTATTAATATAGTAAGAGGGCTCCTTAAGCTATATATTGAATAGCTTATAAAGGCTTATCATATATCTTCTAGCTATCTCTTATTAGATTATTTATCTTAGGTAAATTATTATTATTAGTTATTCTAGTAGAAGGATTAGAGGGTATTATCTTATAGTAATCAATATTTTTAATAATTAATTTTAGTTAGGGCTTATTAGATAATTAAATAATATACTTTAGCCTAGAGTTATTATATCTTTTATTTTTCTATCTCTTTTAGATATATACTTAGTAAAGAATTTACCTATAATAAAAATTCTTTATTAAACTTACTAAATTATTATTTTAATTATAATTTAGTAGTTATTATTTAGGGAAGAGTAGTATAAGTTTACTAAAGATAAACTTAAGATTATATAGAGTTTTTATAGATTAATTATAATTTTATAAATTTAGATATACTACTAGATAGAATTATTATAATTATATAATTTTACTAAGGATAAAGAGAGAGATAAGCTAGGCCTTACTCTCTTTACTATTAGAGAGGATGCTCTTATTTATATCTATACTATCTAGTTACTTTTATATAATAGATAGTCATAGATATTACAGAGATTTCCCTATCAACCTTAGGTCACTAAGGTCAACCTAGATATCCACCACTTATCACTACTGATATGTGTTCACTGATATCACAATATATAGAAATTAATAAGAATCTAGTATTAGAATCTAGTCCTATTTTACTATTTATATTTATATTTACTAATCTTTATATTTATTTATCCCTATAGAATAGAACCTAGTAATTTAAAACTTAAAGCTTTGGAATCTTAAGTGTTAGATTATTTATAAAAATATACTAAAATTTATACTTATATCTTTACTATAATAAAATTACTAGAAGAGATCTAGTTATTAAGTAATAAAAAGAATATAACCTCTACTATAAAAGATTTAGATATACTTACTAAATTAGTAAAGTTTATAGATATCTTTTCTTCTAAAAAGTTAAAAATACTTCCTAAATATAAATAGGGAGATTATTTAACTAATATAATTAATAATAAAACTCTATTATTTAGATTTATATATCCTCTCCTTAAAAAAGAATTAAAAGTATTAAGGGAGTATATCTAAGAAAATTTAAAAAATAAGAGAATTTAATTATTTAAAAGTCTAGTAAAAATACTAATATTATTTATCTTTAAGAAAGATAGTTCTTTATAACTATATATTAATTACTATAGATTAAATAAGATATTAGTTAAGAATTATTATTTTTTTATATTTTATTTTAGAAATTCTAGATAGGTTAGCTAGTACTTAATTTTTTAATAAAATTAATATATAAGATATCTATTATAGAATTTAAATTAAGCAAGGGGATAAGTAGAAGATAGTATTTAAATTAAGATATAAGTATTTTAAGTATACTATTATATCTTTTAGTTTAATTAATACTCTAGCTTTCTTCTAGAATTATATATACTTAATATTATATAATATTTTAGATATTTTTTATATTATATATCTTAATAATATCCTTATCTGTTTATTAATAAAAAGTAATTATTTATAATATATTAAAGAAGTTCTATTATGTCTTTAATAAGTATATTTATTTATAAAAGTATCTAAATACTCCCTTTTTTAATTAGAAGTTAAATTCCTTAGATATATTATATCTAAAGATAGTATTAGAATAGATAATAAAAAGGTTTCTAATATTATTTCTTAGCCTTTATCTAAGAGTTATTATAATATCTAGATCTTTCTTAAATTTTATAATTTTTATTAAAAATTTATATAGAATTTATTACTTATTACTCTACCTTTAACTTCTCTTCTAAAAGAAAGTAAAAATAAAAAGAAACTAAAAATATTATTATCAAATCTAGAGTAATATCTTACTTTTTAGTATCTTATCTATATATTTTAAATAGCTCTACTACTATATCTTTTAATCTATAATTACCTATATAAATTAAAACTAATATCTTTAATAAAGGTATAATAGGAATATTAACCTAAAAAAATAGACTATATTATATTATAACTCTATAATCTTAAAAGTTTTTAGGTGCTAAACTAAATTAGGGAATACTAGATCAAGAACTTTTTACTATTATTTATTTATTTAAATACTAGTAATAGTATATATATTGATAATAAAAAATAATAATAATAATTACTAATTATAAGAGCCTCTAGTACCTTATAAATATAATTAAGTATTTAAAGTAATTAGCTTAGTAGGTAGAAGAATTTTAAAGCTATAATCTAGAGATCTAGTATTAAAACGATAGTAAAGCTATTATACTAAATATAATTAGCTAATATCCTAACTTTATAAAAGAAGGACTAACAAATATTATTAAAAGAATATTACTTAATATATTAGAGGTATAAAAGACTATAGAAATTAAATATTTTAAGAGCCTAAATAATCTTATAAAATATAAATAATATAATATTATAGTAGAATACCTAGAATTATAGATATTATTATATAATAAGAAGAAGTAAGAGATAGTATAAATAATAGCCTTATTATTTAAGCTCTAGAAGGAGATGCTATATCCTGTGATTCACAATTGGCTTCACTCCCAGAGTATACCCAAGGACACACCACCCATCTCCAGGCAGAGTCAAGGAGAACGGACGGCGCGAAGTCCCGTTGCCAGCAGACCGTGCCGGACAAGTGACACTATAAATCCTACTATGTCTCTCTGTACTCCCATCCCCCTTCTTTCTTGTCAATCCGTCCATGCTTTACTCCTCCATTTTGTTCAATGGCGTACTCGGGTCTCCCCAGGCAGAGAAGCGCACGACGTCGGGCAGAGACCTCTGAGCGGAAGTCGCACCTCTACTGCGCGAGGCGACGGGAGCGGCACCTTGCCAATGGACCGACGCTGCCCCAATATGCACCGAATACAAACATCTCCGCCGCCTCACTACGAGGCAAGTGGAATCGGTATGTCCTAACCACTTGAACCATCGTTGCATGACGTGCAGGCAGCTTATACCCACGGTGATCAGATTCTGCCTAGAGGCTGCACTCGATCCTGATGAGCTGCTCAGAAACCTCACCGCTGCGGATGTCAAGGCCTGGTTTGACTGGATCAAAGACAATTTCAGGGGTTCGATCAAAGCCGACGGAACCCTCGCCAACTATTGGAGGACGCTGAAGAGGCTTTAGTACCTAAAGAATGGTAGAGACATGGATCCTGACATGCGCCGGGACTGTCTTAACGTATGTGGTTCTGCTCTCCCAATCTTTGTCCCGGTTTCTGACCTGGGGTGGTAGTACAAGAATCAGGTCAGCAAGGAGATGGGCTTGCGGAAGCTTCCATTACCGAAACCTACCGCAGATTCTATCGATCTCCTGGAGTTTCAGGTCACACACCTTGTCCATTGTGATTCGGTGTTTGCGGATGAGAAGCAGCGACTCTATCCGCTGGTTGGTCTTAATCTATCAAGCATCTCAGCCTGTCGGGCAGTCTCGCTATTCGACACGAGACATCTAGTAAACCCTCGACCTGACGGCACGTTTGGAATGCCAGGGGAAGAGATAGTGACCGAGGAGGAGCACGATCTAAGTTCAGCCGACAGCTTGAGCGATGGATTTTCAAGCGATTCAGGCTACGACACAGGCATCAGTAGTGGCCTAGGTGAGATGGAAGAATTAACATCTGAAATGGACGACGACGAATTTGACCTGGATCACGAGGATAACGATGGCTACACTTCGGACGGTTCCACCGTGACGGATGATGGCTATCTTGCTGGTAATGAGGAAACTGGAACTATCCTGTGGAGACATGTTGAGTTCTACATTATTCGCAATCCGGTACATGGGTGTCGTAATCTGCTGGCTGCCATTGTGACACTGCTTCACACCAAAGGAGAAGATCGAAAGCCGCGAATGTGAGCTAAAAACCCGCCTTAGATATCTTGGTTGAATAGTATTGACTTGACAACAGAAAGAGGTTTGCTATTGAGCACGAGGACAACCTTCGACCTACTCTCGCAGCTCTTGGCACTGGGAATAGATGACGATATATTTGTGGCTACGATCAGGGATGTGGCGGACATTTATACAGTGCCACTCCCCCGTCATCGAAGAGGCATCCTCCTGAAGATCAAGCGAGACATGTTGGACCTCCCCATATTTCGCGAGCCCGAACGCACTGACGAGGGCTACCGCACGTCTGTTCTGCTGGCACTTAGAGCGAGAGCTTGGGCACGCTATATCAAAAAGATCGGGAGGAAAACGGGCCAGGAGGAGAACCTAACCCAGAAAGAGGTCCGGCGTGGCGCTATTAACGCAATCAATAGTATGGCTTTGAGATCTTTGCAAGGAGGGTTCTTCCGCTAACACACTGTAACAGATCGGGCCCCGGCCTCGGTTCGTGATCAGGTTGCTGAGCATGAGTCTAACGCGGTCAAATACTATCTGAATGAAAAGGTTGATTTTGACACGGCGGCTGCTTTTCACAGACGAGCGTCCAACGAGGTGGTGCAGAGGGAAATGCGGACAGCCACGCTGGTGGCAGGTAATACGGCCCCGATTCGCCTGACCGAAGAGTAATCACGCAAAATCAGCAATCATCCCAAAGTCCGACGGCTGCGTGCACGATGCCAGCAGCTGACTTTAATGATCCATCAACTTGGATTTACCGTCAAGGAGGCTCAACATGATGAACTCGGGTTGAGTCTGGACGAGGAAGAAGACACCGAGGCCAAAGAGCTTTGCGAAGAAGCCTTAGAGATCGGTCGGCAAAAGAAAGAAGCAGATGCTATGTTAAATCAGACTCTCACTAAGCTCCGCGAATCAGCCCTGGGGAAGAACAGGAAACGACATTTCCGGAATACCGACACGGAAATTTTTAACCGGCAATATGAAGCTCAGCTTTGCGATGAGGAAGTGAACAACGGAACATACAGCCAAATCGCTACTTCATCCCAGAACGAGAAGAGATAGTCCAGTTGCTCTGCTACTCACCGGCGCCGCGGACAGACGAGGAGGCCCATCTTCGTCGATTGGATTTCATGCGCCTCATGGTTCGGTGGCAGCGTCGGAAAGAGAGCCCCCGCCGTGGGAAGCAAGCAAGCGCGGTAATTTCCCAGCCGGAGTGGGAAACAACGATGAGGGAAACCGCCACAGCAAGCATTGCAGAGAAATATGATCCTCTGCAGTGCCCGTTCTGTCTATCAGACCGAAGCTTACCTCCTATCAACCGTGAGAAGAAAAAGAGCAAACGCAATAAACTGTGGGATCATGTGGAGAACATGCACAAACTCGAACTCGCAGCATTCGACGATGGTATAAAACCTTGTGGATTATGTGGCATGAGAAAGGTTCACTTTGTCCCTCCCAGCGTGACACACTTCAAAAACCATACCCAGAAGGTCCATGGAATTCGACTTCGCTCTTGATATGTGCTTTCACTGTACTCATTGTCACCAAGTGACTTCCTGCCCTCTAATACCAGCAATTTTCAATTCATCAGTGTGTGGCAGGGGTCATTCTGTACGCTTCATAGTATGAATCTTGCATTTCTTCTCCTTACTTTGTCTTATTGATGATCATCCTCAATAACCTCATTGCTCTGCCAAAGGAGATGCTTAGAAGCATGGGTTCGGGCGCTCTGCCACACTAAGTGAAATAAAGTAGTAGAAGAACTTCGCCCACTCCATCTCAACCCTTATAGCCATTCTGTCATTCTTTCAGTGGGCTGGGTTGATCCGGAAGTATTCTGGAAGTTCGGAACACTGTTGAACCCGCCCGCTGTCGCTATTACTCCCACATATACCCAATATGATACTTGACACTATCACCAGTTATCTTCAATGAGCTTCATGATATCTTCGGCAATATTGCGTTCCTCTGCTTCCTCATCTTCATCGTACCAGCCTCCAAGCTCAGGAACGTAATGATAGAGCGGATCATTTTGCATCCGCCACCGGTGCTGTCGTCTTTCAGCTCGTGCTTTGGAGTTGATACGTCAGCAAATATCTAGTCCTTTGACCTTCGGGATAACGCTGACCATGTACTCACCTTCCTCACGCTCCTCTTGTCTGATATCTCTGTGTGTCTCCATTGCATCTCTTCCGATCCAACGCCTGATTGCTGCAGCTGAAATATGATGCAGGACTAGCCACTCGCTATTGTGCTGGGGGTGTCTCAAGATATCGACGTTCAGTAATTGTCGTGCTATCTCCAGAGGGAAAGCCACAACGTTTTCGAGAAGGCTTGTATCAACTTCTGCCATTACAATGTTGTCGTTACGAAGCGATAGAGCCCAATTTTCTGCCCTCTCTTTATCTTCAAAGACAGATATAAATTTCGACGACTTCCTTCTATTCGACGTACCCGAGACGGAATCGGGATATCGAGATATGTTAAGGACACCGAACAATGCTACACATCCTGAAAACACCCCTGAAGTCGCTGAAAGTGAGAGGGTTATGAGTTTCGAGACATCCTCTACGGAAATAAACGCAGTCTCTTGCTATCCTACCCCCTCTAGCGATGGTCTTGACTCTCCTCGACCGCAGGAAAAGCCTACAAGCTCTGATTTTCCGCGGACCTCCGATCACAGACGAGTAAATGGTAGGAACATCCAAAGGCAAAGGAAGAAAGCCGGAGCACGAATGAAGTTGAATCCGATTGCTAAAGCCCTATTGAAGGGTTGCAACTCCGAGCTTAATGACAAAGAAATTGGAAAAGTCCTTGCGGCAGATGCTTATATTCTTCCCCCAGATCTTCAGATGTTGAAATCTCTTTCAGGTCAATGGAATAACAATATATCGCAGGGCCAGCATGCACTTGGCCTTCCCAAGGAGTGGATAGGCACACAGGCAGCATGGAACTACGTGAAAGAACTGGAAGCCAAAACTCTCGATCCAGTGGCGGAGAATGTTGCATATATTCTATTCCATCTCAACTACAAGGAACTCTGCAAGTGCCCTGAGAAATATTGTCCCCGTCCCCCGAACAAGCGCGAGAGGTCTACGACCTATGTCCTTAACTGCATTATCGAGGCGGCATTGCCTGATGAGTGGTCTCGAAGGTTGAAGGGTGATGAACTTCGCAAAAATATAGGTAATATTTACATTCAAAAGGGCCAGTGGTGTTGGGAAGTCATGGTGAGCCTAGGCTCTGGGGTATTGCTCAGAGGCGAATGGCTGGATAAGTTATATATCTTTACTTGTTTGGCACTCCCTCTCACTAATCCTGGAATATAGGTATAATGAAACATTCTTATCTACATGTGTAGATGCGCTTGTCACTTATATTTTAAATACTCGCCCGGGGACTACTTGCCTGTTTCGCTCATTAGAGCTAACTGTGAAAACCCTCATGTTTGGGCGCCTTCCTGATTTCATTAAAGCCTTTCAAACTAGTGGAAATGATCTTCAAGATCAGCTCTATGCAGCATCTACTGAGGATGAGAAAGTTTGGGCGACCTAATTAACTGAAAGTGGATGGGACCTAATCAACATCATATTCAGGAATAGAATATACCATAGTATAGCTAAAGATTTACTAGTATAGACAAGTAATCCAGGGAATTAAAGTAGACAGAGGGTAAAATCGAGCGCTGCCGGGATTTAAATCACCATGATTATTGGATCTCAAGGATTACTTACTCGGTCCTAGGTATTGATAGTGGACAGAAAGAACAAAACGAAAGAAAGTAAATAGTCGAGCCCGAGCCAGCTCCCTGGCAATGGGGTACCACGAGCATCCCCGGACCATGTTACAAGTGTGGTAAGCATTATCACTTTGTCCTCACATAATTATAAACCCGTTTCTGAGACACCCTATAGCTGTCTGAAGAGTCGTGATCCACATCGATTAGTATCTCAAAGAGCTGTCAACGACATAGATATGAAGTATAAAGGCAAAAGCTTTCGCAAAACAGGTTTGCTGGGAATATTTTCGATCTATTCATGGGTGAGCATGACGATGGGCTTTTTGAGGGTAGAGAGCATACTTGCGGTATTGATATCTTTCAAGATATTTGCAAAGCTGGTGTATTGACCATCCCAACACTGAAGAATTATTAATTTCATTTCCACATTTGTAAGGTCCGGGTACGCTTTTTGCTTGAATCTCTGCTCTCTTTCGTCTTCAGAAAGATATTGATAGGGCAAATGGCCTGTTGTCATTTCATAAATAGCAGAGCCGTAATTCGATATATCCTCCTGTAAAGCTTCCGGCGTAGCAGGTGAATTGTTGAATGAGCTAGTGAAATCACCGACTTTCAGGTCCAAAGATCGGTCCAGAAAAAAATTCGTACAATTAACGTCGCCATGACATATCCCATTTGCGTGAATAAACTGCAATGCTTCTGCTGCTTGTTGGGCCCACCGGAGCACAGTAGAAAGGGGAACTGAGTGTTGCAATCCATGTAACACTTGTCACACTGGGCCGCGCTCTGCATACTCCAACAGAATGCCATGGCTTGTACTGCTGTGAAATTTCAAAAGAGATGATGGCTGTGGATGTGGTGAAAACTCCAAAAGCTGGTATATCTCTCTTTCCTGACCACAACGGGCACATTCGTCGTCATCACCGAGAGGGAACTTGATAATAAACTTAGTTTTTGGGTCTAAGGCTGCCATTCCACTTGTTCCACATCCTTTAACATCCTGTATGCCAATACCAGGTGGAAAAGAAACGCCAACCGTCGCATCCATCAGTCAGAAATAATTATTGTAACTGCAAATTTCCGTGAAGGAGAAAAACCTGGTCAGGCCCTCGGACGGGGAAGAAAAAAGGGTGGGCGCCGACTAGAGTGAGTGCAGAATGTAATAAAGGTAATTAAGAAAGTAGAAGACAGTCAGAGCAGGACGATTTAAGTATACTCCCAGGTCAAGGGGGTGGGTGATTGACATTACCTGGGCGACCATGCTAAGAAAGGCAAAACAAGCCGCAGGTGCCAGTAACCTCCAGTCGAACACCGGCGCACCGCAAAACGCCTCACCATCGATCGCCTCTACGCGCGACTCGTCAGCACGTCCAGAAGCACACTCTGGGATACAATTGCGAACAACCTCAGATTCTTGGGTGTGTTACAGTCAACCTCCGGATGCACATCGAATCTTGAAGCTTTGGATTTCTTAAACTTTCCAAGAGCGAATAAAGCGAGACCGAGAACGTTCTGAAGGTTTGTTTTTCAGACTTATTTGGTACTTGCCATGCTTGAGTATCAACAGAAAATAGATTTAACACTACCCAACAATTTCACCAGGGAAAAGGGTTTCAAGGAACATTTGACTGCGCCTCTGAATGTTTGTTGCGTTTGCAGTTGTGGGTGGCGGAGTGCTGTGGCGTACTAGTTTGGGGCTTCAAGGGGTTGTTTGGAGACGCCAAATCGCCAAAACGCGCAACAAGAGGATATATTTGCCTCCATCCTGTGGGATAAGAATTTTTATTTCATAAGGATGTTTTTCTTTCAATCAATAACATGTTCTAAATACAAAATATTTGAGACAAGCATGCCTTAGAGAGTGCTCTTTCCTAAATCAGCCCCTGTTTGACTCGGCAAAGGGCTTGGGCTTACAGTTGGCCAAGGTTAGAAAAAAGTTGACTAAGGTTAGAAAATTTTGGCTGAGAAGAGCTAGCTAAGGTTAGAAAAATTTTATCTTATCTAACCTTAGCTAGCTTTTTAGATTCCTATAGAAAAATTTTTTCTAACCTTAATTAACTTTTAAATATTTAAAGAACCTTTATTAATTAATACCTTTAAAATATACTAAGCATATACTAAGCATATACTAAGCTTATTTATAGTTAAATATTAGTAGGATACTTTACTAATATATTAATTTAGGTATTAACTAGAAATATAAGTAATATAGAGGTGGATGATCTTATTATTTAATAAATAAATAATATTTAATATATTATTAGTATATCTCTAGTATATATTAAGTATATTACTAATAATTCTTTAGACCTCTAGCCTGAAGAGGGTCCTATATTAGATAAGAATAATAATAAGAATAATAAGTTAAGTATTATAAGTATTAAATTATTATATTAATAGGAAAAGAAGATATCTAATATAGAATAACTATTCTTAATATTACTAAGTATAGGCTTATTTAAGATATATAATCTATATATATCTTATATATTGTGTAAAGGCAGTATAATATCCAATAGAAGATGGTAATAGATCAGTGTGAAGGGATCACAGGGTTATATTACTGTTTATATAAGAACTAATTACTAGTCTATAGAATCTTCCTCTGCTAGTAAGGTTTTATACTAGACCATCATATGCTGAACTAGCCCTACTATTTACTAGGGTATGGCCTTAGTGCCTTACCTAGCCTATTTAATAGAATTATTCTCTAGTACTATTCCTAATAATTACCTTCTCTCTCTATAGACTATAGCCCTATAGTTAATTCTCCTTAATATATAGTCTCTGATTCACTAGCTTACTAGATATAGATTAATTCTCTAGATTCTTTAATAATTATATAGCTTCTAATTAGTTAATTCACCCTAGGATGGCTAGTTCTGTGGCTCCTTTATTAAATATAAGATTATATTAATCTTATAAGATTTTCTAATTAGTTATTATAGTAGGAGCCTATAAAATTATAGATTTTCTATTATTCTAGTTATTTAAATAGCTTTATTATTACTAATTCTAGCTATTTAGCTTAGAGAGATAGAGCTTTTAGTTAGTTTTAGTAATCTAATTAGCTAAGGGTCTATTAGTCTATAATATTTTATTATTATTCTATTATTCTTTATAACTAAATAGGCTTTACTTATTAAGGGTATAGTTAAATAATATTATAAATATATATTATAGTATATAAGGAGGTCTCCCTCTTTATAGATTCTTTTATAGTTATTTTAGTTATCTTTATCTTTATCTTTCCCTATGAATTAATATTAATTACTATCTTTTTATTACTATTTTTCTACTTTATTTTATATCTTTAGTTAAAATGCCTACTAAGTATATTAATTTTCTTATTAAGATATATTAAATACTACTAATTCTAGTTAATTTAGCTAACTTTTAGGTATTTTCTCTATATAGGAACCCCTATCTTTATTATCTTTAGG